AATTTCTCCGATTCTCAGAAGTTTCTTGGAGGTAGAAAAGCACCGTCATTGGTGGTGACTGCGGTGGGTTGTTAATCTTGTCGTCGTGTTCAGCCACATTGTCATTTGTCCCCATAAGCTTCCGCTCATAATGGCTCGTCAATTCCTTGCCGACTCCAGCAATCCACCCCCGAACTCCACCGCTGTCGCCATCGACAAAGATAAGAACAGCCCGTATGCTGTCCGTTGGGCCATCGATCATCTTGTGATCAACAATCCATTCATCATCTTGATTCATGTCAGGAAACACCGTAGGTACCCCTCTCATTAATTTTATCTTTTTTGGACGTTTTCTGTTTATTGATCTTTATGTGTTTGAGAAATGCCTAGTTTGTGTTTTATGATCGTTTTTTTTTTGTTTCTTTTTGTGTGTGGGAAAATGCAGATGATGGGGATTCCGATTCTGAGTTCAATAGTTTTTTCGTTCCGTTTCGTGGGTATTGTGCTCGAAAAGGGGTGCGTAATTTCTGTATCCTGTATCCCAACAAACTTAATTTTGTTCAATGTTATTTGATTCAACATCAAATGTGATCTCTACATTCATATCCAAATCTGAATTAGTTATCTGTTTTTTGTTGTCAAGTTTAGGTTCAATTCAAGGAGGTAATCATTGATGAAAGTGATGTTGTTAAGGGACTTGTGAATTACCTAAACAAAAATTTAATCAGCAACATAGTTGTTGGAGGAACAGCTAGGAATGCACTTGCAAGGTTTCTCTCTATCTGCCCTCCTCCTTTTCTTAGGAAGAGGCAAAAGAAAATTGTATTATGACTTTAATTCTTTTTGGTTTTTCAGAAAATTCAAAAACAATGATATATCAAGCAGCTTGCTTAAAGCTGTGCCAGATTTTTGTTCTGTTTATGTGATCTCAAAAGGGAAGGTACAGACGGTGAGGACAGCACAACGACCAATTTCCAACACTGCTGCTCCACCGAAGGTACCATCTCCGGTTGTCCCACTTCAAACTGCGTCTGATCAGGGGGAAGATGATGAATCCAAGTAAGAAAATTGGTTGTAAGATGTGAATGGTGTCTGTGTTGCCTTTTTAAAAAGTCTCTTATTCTCTTTTTGCTTAAAACAGAGGACAGGCTAGGAGGGGAAAAACGAGAAATCCAGGATCAGGGAGAACTTCCTTGGATGGTGTCACAAGAGGACTTGAAAAACACAAACCAGTTCCGAACAATCTATCCGTAGATAGTATTGATTACTCTGTACGAGGGGCTTCAACTGGCCGGGAAAGTATTCCTGATGATTTGGATTTTCAAATTGGATCGAAGTCTATTGATATTTCATCAACGAATTTAGATTTGTCAAGTGCTCCTAGTTCTCCCAAGGGGTCGGCTCCACAAAGTGCAGTGAGTATAAATTTTTAAATTGGAATTCAGTGCATTTGGAGTGTTTGTATTCATAAATAATCTGAGAGTAAATTGCAGCAAGAATTAGAGGCTGAGATGAGGAGATTAAAGCTTGAACTTAAACAAACCATGGACATGTACAGCTCAGCTTGCAAGGAAGCTCTCACAGCTAAAAAAAGGGTAATCTTATACAGTTGGAGACAGAAATATAATTGGGGTATATATATGGTGCTGATTGTTTTGAATCCAGGCTAGTGAGCTTCACCAGTGGAAGATGGACGAGGTGCGTAGGATTGAGGAGGCAAGATTAGCTGAGGAGGCAGCTCTTTCCATTGTGGAGATGGAGAAGGCTAAGGCTAAAGCTGCCATTGAAGCTGCTGCAGCAGCGCAGAGGCTAGCAGAGTTGGAAGCACAGAGGAGAAAACAGGCAGAGATGAAAGCCAAGAAAGAGACAGAAGAGAAGAATCGTGCTTTGAATGCATTGGCACATAATGATGTTCGGTATAGGAAATACACTATAGAAGAGATTGAAGAAGCCACTGAAAATTTTGCGCCGAAGAATAAAATTGGTGAAGGTGGTTATGGACCTGTTTATAAAGGCACTCTTGATCACACTCCGGTTGCTATAAAAGTGTTAAGGCCAGATGCTGCCCAAGGAATGAAGCAATTCCAACAAGAGGTAATATTGCTCAGTTGTTCTTGTTGTTTTAAGCTCCTATGAGTTCATTTCCAGCTAATATTACTGATTGTCCTATACGATGCATTCCTGAACAGGTTGAGATTCTCAGCTGCATTAGACATCCAAACCTGGTGCTCCTCCTAGGTGCATGCCCTGAGTATGGATGCTTGGTATATGAATACATGAGCCATGGTAGCTTAGAAGATAGGCTATTTCAAAGAGGTAAAACTCATCCAATTTCATGGAGGAAAAGATTTAAAATAGCTTCTGAAATTGCAACTGCCCTTTTGTTCCTTCACCAATCAAAGCCTGAACCACTTGTGCACCGTGACCTCAAGCCAGCTAACATCCTTTTAGACCGAAATTATGTGAGCAAAATCAGTGATGTTGGCCTAGCACGGTTAGTCCCACCTTCCATAGTCGATAGTGTCACACAATATCACATGACTTCAGCGGCAGGAACATTTTGTTACATAGATCCTGAGTATCAGCAGACAGGCATGTTAACTACCAAATCAGACATATACTCCTTGGGAATAATGCTGCTTCAGATCATTACAGCCAAATCTCCTATGGGTCTTGCTCACCATGTTGGAAAGGCTATTGAAAAGGGAACTTTTGTAGAGATGCTTGATCCGGCTGTTCCAGATTGGCCTGTTGAAGAGGCCCTAGCATTTGCCAAATTGTCACTGCAGTGTGCAGAGCTGAGAAAAAAGGACAGACCAGATCTTGGCACTATTATAGTGCCAGAACTTAACAGACTAAGAGACCTTGGAATGCGCCCTGAATTATCACTTGTCAGCACTGGCAACAGTAGTCATAGCCACAACCGACTGCCACGTTCTTTAGCAACAACTTCAAGTCTACAAAGTTTGCACCCAAGGATATCATCAAGTAGTCAGGTTTGGCACTTTACTTTTATTGACACTGCATGCATTTCAACTTCTTCAAACACAAACTTTAGGCATTTGAACGATAAGTAGCTCGATTCAAGCTTTAAGACTACCCATTAATTATATTATTTTGAAACTATTTTTTTTTAAATCAATTTATTTTTCAATGTCTAGGAATCAACGAGCAAGTGTGCAAAATTGGAAGTTGAAAATGTGTCCATCTCAAAAGATGAGAATGAAGTTCAAGACTGACTTTGGGTTAGGGGGGTGGTCCAGTGTATTCCCTAGGGAAAAATGCCTTGTTTGACGCTAAAACACGTTATGCTTTTGCTTGTAAACAAGGCAGAGATTGAATGATTTTTGCAATTGTTCATATAATTTCAATACAATGTACATCGACAAATCAGTTCAATGCCTGGAAAATTCTCAATAGTGCATTTCTATTAGCAAGCTTCCTCTCTTTTTCTTCTTCTTGTTATACTGCACAACACGGAAGCTGTCGTTTTGTTTATAACAATAGCCATTTCTTGCAGCATGAGAAATTTGCTTCCTTTCTTGAGTATTCTTTTGCTCAACATACTATTAAACCTAAGATACATTTACTAATTAAGTTGTTCAAGATGCTTCATGAGATGCATTTTATATTTAAAAAATTTTTATTTTAGTCTTAATTTTATTCATTTTTGGATGAGTAGAGTATGTTTTTTTTTTTATGGATCTTACATACCTTTTGTTCTTTGTGTAGAAAAGACTCAAATGCATAATAATAGAAGTTTTGGAACTGAAGTGAAAATTTTGAAAATTTGGGGGACTATATTGTAAGAAGAAAAGTTGCAACCACCAATCGGGGAACTAAATGAATAAAATTTAAGTTATAAGATGAAAGTGCTCACAGAGTAGAAGCTTAAGGACCAGATTTGCTATGCCACCGAAGAAATTGCAAAAAGATTTTAAAAATAATAAAAATCATAGAGGTACTGGGTATTGACACCATGCGTTGAGAATTTGTGAGGTCCACGCCGGTGGAAATTTTTCAGCTAGCGTGTCGACACCTACATTGTGGATAGCTAGCAATTTTTTAGCATCTTTAATAGGGTTTTCAATCTTTATAAATATTTACTCAAAATTTGCTTTTGAGATGTATACAAAAAAAAAAAAAAAAAGCTTTTGAGAAGATCAAGGAAAAGGTGGTGGTTTGGGTAGCTGCACAAACTCACGTATTGTTAATATTTTAAATCATTTTTGTACTTAAAAATCTCAAAAAAAAAAAGAAAAAAACCATTTTGACGCTAAAATTAGTAATATTTAATATTTTAAAGAGAGAAACTCTTAAGATTAAGATATTACAGACAAAGAAATGTAGTAAAGTTATTATCTTCTATGGAGGTAAATGAGGTATTTATAACTCTCATTTATAATACTAATGTCATGTGACATTCTCCTATCTATCCATTTGTCTCAAGTCATGTCGATGCATTATGATTACTTTGTCTATATCTTTGGGTTTCACATGGTTGTTTGGGCTTAAAGCCAATGTTGGGTCTATTTCTTGACAATGGTAATGAGAGATTTTATATCAAAAGAAGATAAGATATGAAAAAAGATAAAAACTTGAGATTTAATATTATCAAATTTATTTTACTTATTTTTATGTCAAATATTCTTATATTCATCATGAATATTTGTTTTTTTTCTTTAATTATGAATTAATTTTTCCATTTAAGACTATAATATGTAACTAAATCAATTTAATATAGAATTTTATTATTTTTATGCTTTTAACATTTATTGTTTCATGTAAAGTATATATTATATTGCTCTTAATATTTTTCAATGATGGACTAACATTAAAATTCTCTTGAGAGCATAATTGAAATACAAAAGGGATTTTATGTAATAGTTTTTATTAATATATACCATAAAAAAAAAATAGAGGTTGACCAATATGATTCATGCAATATTAATAGTAAGTTTCTACATATCATAGAGTATAATATATTTTTATTTATTTAAATTTATATAAAAATATAGTAGATTAATAAATGAAGATAAATTCGATATAATTTGAGAAAGTATATTAATATATATAAATATTGCTATTATATGAATAATAAATATCTTTAAAATATATTAATTTCACTTTTATGTTAATTGATTATAATGAAGTCGGATGCCTTAGAATTTCAAATCTTGATATCATTGATGTTTATTTACTATTTTATAATAGTTTAGTTAATTATTTATTTAAATCATTTAATTTTAATTATTCAAATAAAATTAAAGATAGTTAATGTAACACTTAATTAATTTACAATTTTTGTAATTAAAATGATACTTAATTATCATTATTATATTATTTTTTTTAAACATCGGGGAATTTGGGGGAGAGGGATTTTTTTTCAAGTCGTTGGTGGGAGTCAAATTATTGACCAATTACATCTAAACACTTAAGATTTGAGGATAAATTATTGGGTCGAAAAGCTTAGTTCCACAATTATATTATTTTAAGTTACTAATTTTTTCTCAATAACATTTACCTAGCATAACCTTCCTAATTCCAGGAAGAAATCCCTAGAACCTGGAACAAGGAAGGGAGATGTGAGAAGCTCAGTTAGAAAGAAAGGGATAAAGAATGTAAACATTCCGAGGGGAGCCTTTATTCGCACCAAGGTGAACCATGATATGAGGAAGGTACAAGAAAAAGTAGCAAAGGTATATTATGAAACAAGTTCTTGCTTAGGATTCCCCCCACCCCTTAATTAAAACAAAAGATTTTATGATAACAACCTTCAAAATCTCAAAATTTAGATAATAAAATTTATTAGCACTAATGATTAGGTATGTCATTAACCCCTTTCCTCGCTGTCTTAGTGGCCCCAATTACTGTGATCATGATTACATTAGTAGCTAAATGTTTGAACAAATACATTCTAAGTGGGAAACATTTTCCAAATGTCGTATATATGTCAAATGAAATTTCATGATGTCTGTTCCTGTTAGTCCAATTTTCATTGTTATCCTAGAAATAGTTCCCATCATCACCGAAGGTCACACTATCTAACAATTCAAAATTAAACACATTAAATTCAATCCCAATTCAAAGCAATAAAGTAAAATTATGGCTTTTTCACCTTTGACACTGTTATGAGTCAAAAGTCCAATTTCAAGAGACCAGAGACAAAGAGAAATGTAGCAAATCTTCCCCTTTTTACAGCAGAAGAGCATTGTTTAAGAAACATATAAATCAACCTTTTGGAAGAGCCATACACACGCAGGTCGAAGGTAATTGGTATAAAGGCACCTAATCTAGGCCTTAATTGGCATTTGTCTCGACAAAGTTAATTAGGACTAAAATTAAGCACAAGAAGTTTCTCTCCTCCACAACGCACAAGAAGATCATGCCATTGCCTTCAAGTTTCATCTATGCCTCAGCAATGCAGAAGGGCCGTGGTTGGCTTTTATTGGTAGGGATCATGGGAATGATATTTAAGCTTGGATTTGGAGATGTATCACCAGTGGCAACGGGGAGAGTTGGAGATCCTGCATCCATCTTACTCTGCATCAGTGAATGTGGGACTTGTCCGGTGGTTTGTTCCCCACCACCTTCCCCACTCCTGACAACTTACCCTCCACCGCCACCGCCGTTAAAACCGCAGTCACCTCCTCCACCGCTGTTAACACCAAACCCTCCACCGCCACCATCATTGACACCATACCTTCCACCTCCACCACTGTTAATATCATACCCACCTCCTCCACCACTACTGACAACATATCCACCACCACCAGAACACCACTCACCACCACCTTCTTACTATAACTCTCCACCTCCACACTCACCACCACCACCACCACCACCACCACCTCCCACGTTCTCCAACACGCCTCCATATCACCAAGCGCCTCCCCATCAATACCCCTATCCTTACTACTACTATTATGCCTCGGAGGCCGCCTCTGTTTCCTTTTCATGCTTTCTTCCTGCTTCTATTGTTGCTCTTCTTCTATATTTTGTAATTCAGTAATTAATTATTGTAAAATTGTGGGGTGTTGTTACATGTACATAAAATTAAAACGACTGTTGTGCTGTTCATAAATCTCCTTGTATTTTTTTTTTTTCCCTTCATTGATTCAGCAATTTCTGCTGAATTTTAGAAGTAAACGATCACTTCCACTACATTTTCATTGAATAAAATGAAATTTCCCTTTTTTATGATACCGAATTGGAATTTTTTTATTTTCCAAAACTTCATTCTCCAAGTCATTCTAAGAACTTAATTAACTTAAAATTAAGTTTGAGGGTAAAATTAAAGAAAAAAAAAGTTTAGGATCTAATTAGACAATAATACATAAAAATACTTTTTAATATAATAATTTAAAACTATCAACTAACTAACGATTTCATTTAATTTTAAAGAGATAGCAAGCGGGTCGAGGCCCACCAAAATGTGTACGCATCAAACGGTTAAAGTCGTTCCAAAAAAAAAAGAGCGAGGCGGGGTCGAGGCCCACCAAACCGCTGACATGGCCGAAGATTTAGCCCGCCTGAGCTGACGGGGCTTAGTACAGGGAAAATCTTTCAGATCCAAAACTGAACGTTGTGCGGGAGAAGGTCTGCGTTGTAACAATTCAGTGTCCGTGATAGATCCGTTCCTCACCGCGACGGAGGACTGAATTCCGAGCTCGTATTGAATGCAAATGGAAGCTGAAAATGTAGAGGACACGTCGCCGTCGTCACCACCAACATCGGCCAGGGACAATCTCGTACCCCTCGCCTCCGCCTCTCAACAGCCTTACGTATCCGAGCTCCTCTCTTTCACTCTGGATCGCCTCCATAAGGTCTCATTTATGTTCATGCGCTCGAGTAATTGAATCTTTGTTTTTAAGTCGAATTTCTAGTGAAACTTGTGATTGATTACTGTTTAATTTGTTTCTAAAAAGGAACCGGAGCTTCTTCGAGTTGATGCGGAGAGGATTCAGAGGCAAATGCAAGAGGTGGCGGTTGGAAATTACCGCGCCTTCATTGCAGCTGCTGATGCGTTGGTTGCTATTAAAGAGGAAGTCTCTTCCATTGATAAGCATCTTGAATCTCTCGTAATTACGTTCTCTTTTGCGGATTCAATTCATCTTTTCTTTTTTTTTCTACATTCTGGATTGTGTCTCAGACTTTGCTTTTTGTTTTTTGAGCTTAGTATTGGTTTTTTGTTATGCAATTATGAATATCTTTGTTTGGATTCAAAATTTGTAGTAAGGTTAAACAGTTATATGGATGCATTGTAGGCTGAGGGAGAGGGATTAAGTTTTGTAATTCGTTTGAGTATTTGGAAATTTGGATGGAAATATATATTAAACAGCTCTCTATAGCAGTTTTTCTTTTTATATAAATTCAAAATATAAACAGTTTTTTTTTTTTTTTTTTAATGTGGGCTTCCTTTCAATAGGAAAGATGTTCATTAGGATATAAAATCAGATTCAAAGAAGCTAAAATGTTTGTAGTAACCTTTGTTTATAAATAGAAGGAAAAAATGTTTTAACTGTTTATAGAATTAATCAGTTGGGAGGCTTGAATGATATTTTTAACGTTTTGGAGGTAAAACTTGAGGGCATGGTTTGAAATTCTCAAAATAAGAAGAATTTAGAGCATCAGAGGGAAATAATTCTTTGCAATAAAGTGAATTCAGCAAGTGGATAATAGCAGACTAAACTTATGTAGTTAATGCGTTCCCACTTCTAGAACAGAGCATGAGTCTCATAACTAAGTGCCAAGCTTGAAAAAAGATTATAAAAGTTTTATGAAATGCTGCACTTGCCTTGTGCCCGCCATCCATTATGTTAGTTTGTGTAATATTATGTAAACATGGTGAGGCATTGTTCTTAGTTTTGTTTTTTAAGTTGTTTGTGATCTTATTTTCATATCTTTTTTTTTTTTTTCATTAATGTTGAAAATTGTAGTGAATCAGACATGTTTATAATAGTATTTAGCCTTTCAGATAACTGAGATCCCGAAGTTGACATCTGGTTGCACAGAGTTTCTTGAATCTGCAGAAGATATTTTGGAGAAGAGGAAAATGAATCAGACGTTGCTTGTAAATCATGGTACACTGCTCGACTTGCTTGAGATTCCTCAGCTTATGGACACGTATGGGCTTTTATAAAGTCTTGCTAAATTAACAAATTTATCAACATGCTTGGTTTTTTTTTTTTTTTTTAATTGGCAACATACTGGTGGTTTCAATTGGTCTTTGACATACACATCCAATTTGGATTAGTTTTTTCTGTTTGAGAATTCCTTAATACATCAGCGGCTACAGATTAAGTGAAAAGTTATTTTATTATAACTATTTCTAATATCTCTTTTTCAATGAAGCAATTAGTCTATAAGAATTAATGCTGAAGAGCTTCATTAGTTTTTATATTTCTGCAGATGTGTACGAAATGGAAATTATGATGAAGCTGTTGATTTAGAAGCTTTTGTTTGTAAACTCTCAACCATGCACCCCAAGTGAGTACTCTTTACCATCTCCATTGACTTTCATCTTTTGAAAACTAGGTTGCTGAGACTAGTCTTTTACTCTATGAAAGATTACCTGTAATTCAAGCACTAGTTGCAGGGGTTCGGCAGACAACCCAGTCTCTTCTTTCTCAGCTTTTACAGAAGCTTTGCTCTAATATTTAGGTGTCTTTTTGATAGCCATGTTAAACATGCGCACTAAATGCAACTTGATTTAACTGTGGAATTTAATGAGAACTGTTTGTGTATCGCAGTTACCAGAATGTCTCCGCATTATTGGATATTTACGTCGAATTGGGGTCTTTAGCGAGTATGAAATGCAATTGCAGGGGTGTTTTGTATTTAGCTGGCTCTCTTTTCCTCTTCTTTTTAGGTATTTCTTTCACAAGTGCCTTTCTTCTGACATGATTATTACATTTTTCAGTTTTTGAGATGCCAAGAGGCATGGCTCACTGGAATTCTTGAGAATCTGGACCAAAGGAACGCTTATGAGTTTTTGAAAGGGATCATAAACTGTCATAGAATGCATCTCTTTGATGTTGTTAATCAATATTGAGCAATATTTGCTGATGATACATCAGGAAGTGAAGAAAATTACGATGGTGAGCTTCTTTTTAGTTGGGCTATGCACCAGATTACTTCACACCTTAAAACTCTTAAAGTCATGCTCCCAAAGATAACTGAAGGTGGATCCCTATCAAATATTCTGGATCAGTGTATGGTGAGAAATTATCATTAAACTATATAAAATTCTGGTTTTCATTTCCAAATACTTAGGTTGGGTTTGGATGAAGGATTCTAAATGAGGTATATCTATGAAGAAAGGAATTTCAAATTCCTTCTGAAAATGACTTTTCACGTGAAAATTTATTTGGTTGTATTAAGAAGCTTGTTATTTTAAAATAACACTTAAAGCTTGTCATTTTCCTCTGACTAAACTATAATATCTCTCCCTCCTTGACAGTAAGAGGAATTTGAAAATCCTTGACATTTTCTTCTTATGAAATTCCTCCTTGAAATCCTTCATCCAAACACAAAGTTAGGAGTTTCTGGTCCTTCTGGACTAATGTCATCATGCATGCAACTTTTGATGGCATTCAGTCATGCAACTCAATTATTGTGCATTTCCACATCTTACCTGTAGTTGACTGGTCATAGTCTTTCTATGTGAAATAAGATTAATAGAAATCATATTGCAATAAATTTGATGTGGATCTTGTTTTTCGTATTGTTGGCAGTATTGTGCAATTGGGCTTGGCTGGGTTGGGTTGGATTTCCGAGGCTTGCTTCCATCTCTTTTTGAAGAGTAAGTATTTCTGTCATTTTCCCTATTACATCTTTTTGTGTCCTGTGTGGTATGATATGCTACAAGTTTCCTTTTCCCATGTACTTAATAACTAAAATTGAGTTTGCTAATTTTTTGTAGGGCAGTTCTCAACTTGTTCTCAAAGAAATGAATACAGCAGTTGAAAATTTTCAGGTATGCCTGGCAAATGATGGGATTCTGATTTTGTTTCAGATAGTGACATGAATTCTGTTGTTACCCTGGATTTTTTATGCAAACAATAACAAGCAGCTTCTAGCTTTTTCTTTATTGGGGCAGTCTTCAACTTGATGATGATTAGTGACATGTGCTTTTACTTACTCCAGTTGGTTCTGGATTCCCATCACTGGGTCCCTTTGCCGGTGGTTGGCTTTCCAACAAATAGTGTTGGTGAAGAAAGTCAGGAGGACGTGACTCCACCATCTCATCTAATGGAACATCCACCTCTTGCTGTATTTGTTAATGGTACGTTGATCAATAATTTCTGAAATTGTTTACTCTTTTCAGCTGCTTTCCTAACTAGAACTTTGGTTATTGCTGTCTTAAAACTTGAGATAATGAATTTCTTTGGAACTTTGAATAACTATCAAGTATCAAATAAATGTCATCAGAGCTTTCATTAGGCAATTAATTTAGTTGCTTGGTGATTCCACCCTAGAATCCAAAAAATTGGCGTTCATTCCACACGGTTTGATATTGATGTAAAAGTTACAGAGTATAAACTGAATTCCTGAAACTATGTTACTAATGATTTGATATCAGTTGCTGTTTGACAAGAACATTATATAGTGATGCATTTTCTTGGATTTTGTTGTTTTGAAATTGTAGTCATTAGCCAAAGAAAGTCTGTAAAGTTGCATTGTACCTGAAGCCCATTGAAGAAAGTAGCCACTCATCCCCAAGTTCTATTGAAGACTTTCAGATTCAGTAATAAATATATTGTTGCAGAGAACTGCTATCCTCTGGCATTGACGCTGATTGATCTCTCTGGTGTATTTAGGTGTTTCTGCTGCAATGAACGAGCTACGTCCCTGTGCCCCCATAAGTTTAAAGTATGTGCTTGCTTAAGAATTAGTCAAGGGGTTGCGGGCTGTTTCTGACTCTTTATTGAGATACAATGCTACAAGGATGCTCAGAGAAAATGAGTCGGGACTCTTTCTCTCCCTTTGCCGAGCTTCTATTGAGGTTGTATTCCATCAAAGTTTGGCTGATTTTCACTTGCAAATTTTGTTGATAAATCCCGTTGACAGCTTTACGTGTAACTAACCACCATCATATTTGCAGGTTGCTTTCCCACATTGTGCCACATGCTTTGGTCGTTGCTACCCAGGCGGAGCTGCCCTAATCATGGAAGCAAAGAATTTATATGATGGCGTTGGAGGCCTCTTGACAATCTCATCATCAAGAGAACTTCCAAAACCAGTCAATAATGCAGAGGAAATGAAAGCTTCAGAGAACTGTGGTCCGCCAGTTGTAGAAGATGGCATTACTCTTGAAGAAGAATCTGAGGCCACGGCTACCAATGCAGAAAGAGAAGAGCAGAAGAGTCCCGCTTTGCAGACCCATGAAAAAGCCCAGTGATGCATGAAGCATTCATTCTTCTCAAAGCCCACCCCTTAATTTACCCTTCCATTCTTTTACTTTTCATTTCAAAGGTTTAAATTTTTTCCTTTTTTTTTTGTAATTATTCTGTCAAATGATGCCGAGAAAAAAAAATATTTCAATAAAGTTAAAAGTTTTGTATCATTGGAGGAATGTGACATGCTTTTTGGGCCACTAGGAAGGTGTCATATATACTCACAGAGATTCGAAGAGGAATACAAGGTCGTCTTAGCCTTTCTTTTAATTTCATGGTTATCAAATTAAATACCAATATACCATTCTGCAAATCTATGAGCGTGTATAGTCTTGTCATTTGGCATCCACATTGCATGGGGGAAGTTCAAATGCAAATAAATCATTATTTATTGTCTGTAAAGTGTCTTTGGTAATTAAAATTTTAACACTCAGATTTTAAGTTTTATTTTGGGTGCATAATATAGGGTAATTCTATTTTATTTTATTTCTTTACTTATCTTACTTTGATGTTATAACTTAAATTTAGGATCTTTTGTTCCATTTGGAGAAGAGATTATTATAAAGCTATTTAAGTTATTTGCTCAATTTTATATAAATTAACTTATTGATTTTATGTAGCAAACTAATTAATGTCTATAGAAAAAAAATTTAATCTATTAAATGAAAATATTTAACAAGAATTATGTATTGAAAGAATTTTTTTTTTCCAATTAGGATACCAGTTGATACATATTTTATTTTAACATATCATATAACACATTTATTAAAAAAATTATTGTTTATGATCTAAAATTAAAAATAAATAAATTTAAAAATGTAATTATATATATAATATATTAGGAATTAACTAAATTGAATTGTACTTATATTATATTTTAATAACTGAATCAGACAAATATCAGAAAGTGTATTAAACCAATTGTATATTAATAATTTTCCTTCTAAAAAATGAGTTGCAACATGAAGTATTCATTTTCACAAAATTTTCACTTATTTCACTATTCAAATTTATGATATTCAATGTGAAATTTCAAGATCTTAAGATATCCATTCATAGGAAGGCAAAAAGAATTTAAACAAAAAAAAAGATAAAAAAAAGGGTTAATTGCACAAAGGGAAAAACAAAAGGTGGGGCAATCAAGTTGACCATCCAGCTAAATTTAATTGGTGAAGGAGTTTGTTTTGCTCTATTTTATTGATTATAATTAATTTCATTTTGGATTTGGATGGATTTACCGTTTTCCTTACTTTATTTAATTCCATTTGGATTTGGATGGATTTGGATGAATTTACCGTTTCCCTTACTTTATTTAATTCCATTTGGATTTGGATGGATTTGGATGAATTTACCGTTTCCCTTACTTTATTTAATTCCATTTGGATTTGGATGAATTTACCGTTTTCCTTACTTTATTCCAAGGGAATAAGGGTCTTCTTAAGTGCAAGTTCATCATCTTGCATAAACCCTAACAAAGTAAGAAGGGAGAAAACTGATAACAGAGAAAGATGAAGATCATCCAGGTCGACCAGTGGAATAGAAAACTGAAAAATAGCCGAAAGGGTTTTGTTTCTGTTCTTTCTCTCCCTTCATTTTTCGAGTAGTTTTTTGATCAACCTCTCTTTTTGGCAACAAGGCAATGGCCAATGGGATTGAAATCTGTTGAAGTAAATAGAAAATTAAATCATAGACAATTAATTCTTGAAAGGAATCAATTGGTTAGAACCCTGAACTCCGACAAACCAAACAGGTCCAAGAAAATCTTTAAAAGATCATAGAATACAACAACAGATTTACTGTTAACTCATGCAAGAAAGACAGTGCATGTATACGGATTTCTTCTACTGTTGTCTTTCTCCTACAACAAAACGATTAACTCTTTTAACCTCAGAAAATACATTTCAGAAAGAAAACAAATTTCTGGATTTGCAAACTTAAAGAGAAACTCTGGGAAAAGTTCCATCTGAGGACTGATCGACACAAGTCTGCACCAAGTAGGATATGACAATTTGAAGGGATTTTAAGAATTTAGATTCTTAATTCCTCAAAACCGTCCTCCCGGTAGCCAAGATTCATGTTCATTATAGCTTGGGTGCATATTTAGTCCTGTTTTTTATATATCCATAGATACTGTAATCAAAGAAGAAAGAAGTTAATTAACATGCATAGATGTAATTGAATTTTAAGAACAAAAAAAAAAAAAAAAAATTTCAACCCAGAGCACTGCACTCCAAAAATAAGATCAAAAGGATGATCTTTCTAGATCATTACTTAATTAACATGCAAGATAACATAAGTACAGCAATTGCATCTCGACATCACAAGTTACTTAAAATTAATATGCAAAATATATACTGGTATTTAATAGGAGTTTTTTTAGGACATATATGTCTTCCCATGATAAACATCAATCCAAGTTACTTGTGTTTTTTTTCTTTTCTTCTTTTTTTTTCTTGATCGTCTCCAAGTTACTTGTACTTTGTGCAGAAACCTTAGTTTGTTTTGTTGCTTTGTCCTTGATTGAGGCTTGGATCTGATCATTTTGTGTTTAAAAGGCAAAAGCTAAACTGCAGATTAGACAAAAATCATGCATCTCCCTGTTTCTTTTTTTGGTAATCATGCATGTCCTTTAGCATGAAATTGATGGAACATGCACAAGTACAAACAGAAGTATAAGATACCAAGATCTAGTAGTTGTTGGAAATAAGATTGTCTTCCAGTTCCAGCAATAAGGGAACGACTTTTTGCTATTAAAAGACACAACCTTTACTACTAGTTAGCAAGTAATCATATAAATTAAGCAAAATTAAATCATGAAAAAACAAAATCAGAGAGAGAGAGAGAGAGAGAAAGAGAAAATGGGGTGACAGACAGAGAGTGAGCACGCATAGCTTCAAGCATCAATATTCCCAGCATGCAAGAAAACACCATGTGTGCTCACTCTCTTCTGTCACCTCCCTTACCCTAGAAGGGTTGTACAAACCCTTCATGCATAAATGAAAGTATGAAACCTCAATCACCATGACCTTCTTTCATCCCCATCTACCCACAACAACTGTTCCATAAACATGGAAACAGTACACACATCTCAACTCTTTTCTTTGCCTTCTGTTTTGGTGTGGGGAGAAAGAGGAAGTATATAGGTCTTTATATAGAATAGGAAAAGAGAAGTTGCATCAACTATGGAATAAATGTGGGTTCAACTATTATTGGTCACTCCATAATATTTTAATACCATTATTTCAAAGATTGAAGAAAAGAAAAAGGAAAGTCTAAACACATTATATCTCTTCTGATACCATCATTTCCTCACTCCACACATGCAAACCTAACCCTAGACAATCACATTTACTCAAATACTTTTTCCAATTAATGCTTCTTGTAATTCTAAATATCCTTAACATGTACATCATCTTCACCACTCAAACCCTATCCTGATCTTTCTGATGAATCTGCTCCCTCCTCCTTATATTAAATGGATTCATTTCTCCATCATAAAAAAGAAAGAAAGGGTTCATTCATATGCACAAGTTCTTCGATTTCTGGAAATGGATCAAATCAACCCACGATCATCAAATAACATTACAATATTTCCTGGTCCCCTAGGCTTTGAAAAAGAGAAAGGGAAAAGGAGGAAGGAAAAGAAGGGGTCTTTTTTTTTTTCCTTTTTTCCCTTTCTTTTGTTCTCTGTAAATGGAAATAATCAACCAATAAGAGATCAACAGAGACTCATGAACGCATTACCACACAAAGATCTAATACGGCGCAAAAGTAGCGTAAAGTATATATGCTTTAATTATATTAATTAATCAAAGGAATGATATAAAGAATCATTTGACAACGAACTAGTATACCAATCACTGAAAACGCTAATGCGTGATTTGTGGCAAGGGCCGGCTATCGTCACGCCGCCTTTTCTACATTCCTCTAGTCGGTAGCATAGGACAATTACTGATGATCTATATACGTTTTGATTACTTGGTGACAAAGTAATCTTTGTTGGTAATGGTGTTTACTTCTTTGTTTTATCTTTGAAATTCTTTATTTAGAGAGGAATGGAGTACTTAATCCTTTGCAAAATCTCCAAGTGTTGGTGTGGATGGTTTGTTTTTATAAAACTGAAAAAGAGATAAACTTAGTATATATATGCTGCGTGTGTGATTGGTTCTAAGAAAATGCAATACTACATATAGTGCAGATGATGGAAGCCTAAGTTTGTTCTTTTTTTCTTTTTCTTTTTTTCTTTTAATGAGGTAAATCCACTGATTAAATTTTTTGTAAAAAAAAAAGTGAAGAGAAAGAATGAGGGTTCAAATTTTAGTCATATATATTGGTGAAAAAGTGTTTTTTTATTAATAGTTTAATCAATTACTCTACAAACTCTCCTCTTGGAAATCTAAATCAATTAGATTAACCACATAATCAAAATTAAGGTAACCAAAATAACGTGCAAAAGAATGATGATGATAAATAGTGGGAAGCAGGTGCTAAATTGACAAGACATTTCCCATTATGGAAGGTTCTATATTTTAGGGTTTTAGACTTTCCCCTTTAAGAGTGGTGGATGCATGATGGATGGGATAATACTGGGATTGCATGTGGATATGAAGGTGAAGGTGATGACAATCTGTATCAAAATGAGGATGGCCCCACTTAGTTGAACAATTATATATGGAGAGCATCTGTGATGTGTAAACCCTAAAATGGCAGGAAAAAAAAAAGATTAAAAAGAGGAAAAGCATTAGATCCTATCTTCGACTTTCGGCACACCAAGAAGGGAAAGAAGATGATGGAAGTGCAAATGGGATACAAGTGGCGTTATGGGGTGTGTAGTTGCTTGCTGGCTCAAAACCGAACCATGAGTTTTGTTTAGTCCCGTGCAACTACTCTTCACACAGTCCAAGAAAAAAAGAAAAGCAAAAGATGAGTTCTTTCTCAACGTTTTGTAAAATGTCGGAATTTGTATAAGAATCCATCATATGGACCACTTGCCATGATTGACATTTTCACATTGTAATCCTCAAGTTTTAAGATTTTGGATATATCCAAATATATCACAAAATCAAAGAAGATATATTTAGATAAGATTATTGTCAAGTCAGTATGAGCTTGAAACGGTTGGTATGGGTTATACAACCACGAATGTCTCATCTTCTATCAATATCAAGTTTTTGGAAATTTATATAGATCTCTAACTCAAAAATCTCAATTTTCATTGAACTATCTCTCCTAATCAACAATTTCTAACAAAATGTGAAGGAAATAATTGTTTTAAAAACCTTAATAGTATATAATTAGGTTGAAGGAAGAGGAGGGAATAAGTTTTTTTAATTAATTAAATTATAATATTTTTTAAATATTATAATTTAATCGGTAAAAAAATCCATTCCTACTTGTTCCTCCTCTTCTCTTCTCTTTATTTTCTTCAAATTAAACATATTATAAGGATTAAATTCACTAATAATATCATATCATTTTGTAAATAATATATAAAGTTTAAATTTAAAGCCAATATTTAAAAAAATTAATTTTCTTAATTAAATATATCAAGTTAATATGATGATGCATTAAAATCACTTAAAAATAATTTTAAAATATATAAAAATTGATTTGAAAATATTTTAATTATAAATAACTAAAAATAACATTTTTTTTTTAAGAGGCAAAATCTGTGATTTGGGCGGATCGGAGGTGGAGCGCAAGGGCATATCAGGTTCTCACATGAAGAGCATGTGATGAAGCTGGAGGGAGACATTAGATTTATATGCATGTGCTTCATCAGTTTATCACGTGCCTCTCTGACTCTGGGACAGCGACTCTGGGACAGGGACATGAAGGCCATTGCCATTGGTTAG